CTCATTGCAGTTGTGGGGGGGTCCCAGATGATTGGAAAAGGGGCAAGTATAATGCCCATCTTTAGGAAAAGGAAGGAGGATCAAGGGAACTACAGACCAGTCAGTCTCACCTCAGACCCTGAAAAAATCATGGAGCAGGTCCTCAAGGAATCCAAGGAGTTTCTAAGCACTTGTAGGAGAAGAAGGTGATTAGGAACAGTCAGCATGGATTTACCAGGGGCACCTCATGTCCGACCAACCTGATTGCCTTCTGTGATGAGATGACTGGCTCTGTGGATGTGGGGAGACTAGTGGACGTGACATGCCTGGACTTTAGCAAGGCTTTGGATACAACCTCCCACAACATTCTCACAAGCAAGCTAAGGAAGTATGGATTGGATGGATGGACTGTAAGGTGGATAGAAAACTGACTGGATCATCAAGCTCGGGGAGTAGTAGTCAATGGCTTGATGTCTAATTGGCAGTCGGTATCAAGTGGAGTGCTCCAGGGGTCAGTTCTGGAGCCAGTTTTGTTCACTATTTTCATCAGTGACCTGGAAGATGGGATAGAGTGCACCCTCAGCAAGTTTGCATATGACACCAAACTGGGGGAGTAGTGGATATGCTGGAGGGTAAGGCTAGGATTCAGAGCGATCTTGAAAAATTGAAAGACTAGACCAAAAGAAATCTCACGAGGTTCATTAAGGACAAGTGCGAAGTCCTGCACTTGGGATGGAACAATCCCATGCACTGCTACAGGCTGGGGGCTGACTGGCTAAGCAGAGCTAAGCAGCTCTGCAGAAAAGGACCTGAGGGTTATAGTGGACAATAAGATGCATGTGAACCAATAGTGTGGCCTTATTGCCAAGAAAGCTAATGGCATACTGGGCTGCATTAGTAGAAGCGTTACCAGCAGGTCGAGGGAAGTGATTCTTCTCCTCTATTCAGCACTGGCGAGGGCAGATCTCGAGTACTGTGTGCAGTTTTGGGCCCCCCACTACAGAAAGAAAATTGGAGAAAGTCCAGCAAAGGCAACAAAAATGGTTAGGGGCTGGGGCACGTGATTTCTGAAGAGAGGCTGAGGGAACTGGGCTTATTTAGTCTGGAGAAGAGAAGACTGGCAGGATTTAATAGCAGCCTTCAACTACCTGAAGAGGGGGGGTTCAAAAGATGATAGAGCTAGACTGTTCTCAGTGGTGACAGATGACAGAACAAGGAGCAATGGTCCCAAGTTTCAGCAAGAGAAGTTTAGTTTAGATATTAGGAAAAGCTTTCTCACTAGGAGGGTAGTAAAACACTGGAGCAGGTTACCCAGAGAGACTGTGAACTCTCCATCCTTGGAGGTTTTTAAGGTTTAGCAACACAAAGTCTTGGCTGGGATGATTTAATTGAAGATGGTCCTGCTTTGAGCCGGGGGTTGGACTAGATGACATCCTGAATTCCCTTTCAACCCTCATTTTCTATGATTTTCAGGAATATTATAATATATGACTCCATTTTATGTTTAAGCTAAATGGCCCGGAGATCTTTTTTTTTCTGTGACAGAGGCTTTCTCCACCTGAAAAAAGCAAGTCTCTTTCAGGTGGAACAAGAGTATTTACAAAAAGACTTTTTTCTGTTCTCCTTTTTTCTGCTTCTGCATCCTTTAAGTATGCAGTGGCAACTTTATAAAATCTTTCTGAGGTATTTTAAGTATGTTGCAAAACTCCAGAATTCTGTTGGAAATGGACCTAGCAACAACTCGTGGAAACTTTGAGAACAATCTATTTAGAGTATTTGGCCTATAAGATCATGCATTACATTTACTGTAATTCTTCCTGTTTTTATTAATAGCAACGTTTACATGAAAACAAAATCTGTGTTTTTAAGAAACCATCAACTGTTGTGGCTTATTCACTGCTGAAAGTCATATCCCGTATTCATTACATCACAGTTGCTATAGAAATTATTAGTATCCTAAGCAGGGAAAATAGTTTCCTAAATAGGAAGTTGAAAATATGAAATCTACAAGACTGTCCCATACCCTCTATAGAGCATAATGCTAGATCAGGTCTTTCTCCCTAGGATTAAATCAGTGCGTCTCCCAGTGAATTCTCATTCATTGCTGTTGCACATTATTTTTATTGTAGTGTGTTGCGTTATTTGTATTGTAGTAGGGCCTTAAGTTTCCATTTAATCAGGGATCAAAGCCTTTTGGCATAGTTCCCATACTTATCCATCAATTACAACATTTTTATCAATCCAATGAGAATATGTTCTGGTCCTGGCGGAATTTCCAAAAACAAGGCATAATCTGGCAAAAAAAAAAAAAAACCCCAAACCCATGGCTTTTATGTATAGGCAGGTTTGAAACTATTCTGTGTACAGAACCTTCATACTTCTAGCAACTTAGTCTACCTATACATGCAAAAACCATTTTGTTCTCCAAATTGCTACAGATTATAGCAGAGAAGATGCACATGCAGTGGCACATGGAGACTCTTAGCATGTTTCTTGTTGATTTTTCCTTAATCTGAAACAAGTAATTTTTAACTGAAAGTATAGATTGCTAAACTTTTGGGAACCTTCTTAGTTGAGAAACTTCTTAGTTGGGAACAAACAAATCCCTAGTTCAATACCAGGTCTTAAAGTAGCTGTTGATAACACCCACTGTTGAAGTAGTTGCAAAATAGTTTCCATTATAATTCAATACTTGTAACCTGCGCACTGCTCTGGAATAGCTGAGGATCTGGCCTCATAGCTGCGCATAATAAGTAACAGAAAGGCAGGGGTCCAAATGTTAGTTTCATTTCTACCTGTGCAAATTTTAAAATAACTCTATCGAAGCAAAAAACCCCACAATCTTCCAATAGTGATATATGTTGAGCATGTTGCACAAAATAGTATTTGCTATTCCTGTTTTAGTGGTTAAATATGTTACTTCTGACCATATTTACCTGAATACAAGTTGAGTTTGAATTTAAGACAACCCTCCAATAATGAGATTCTGTACATGGAAAAGATATACATTTGTTGTTATTTTCTATGTATAGAATATAATATTTGAGGGTCTTGAATTCATCCCCTACCATTGTAGCAATAGGTGACAGGCAGTGGGGGAGGGAGGGAGCAGGTGATGTGGAAGTCAAGCAGCCTAACTCCTGACCTCTAGTACCTGCCGCCTTGCCTCACGTACTGCTTGCCCTCTGGATTCAGTTCCGCATAGAGCACATGGTTGTTTTGGCACCAGCTCCAGCCACGTATAGCTGAAGCCCAAGCCAGAGCTGCTGCCACCACTACTGCTGTTGCTACCAAGCTGAGCTGGGGCCAGGGCAACCACATACTTCATGCCCTGGGCTAGAGTGGGGCTGGAGCCCTGTCAGAGCCAGAGGGTAAGTGGCAGTGAGGTGTGGGCAGAAGGGCAGAGGCAGTGATGTCAGGGGAGCAGGCAGCAACTGTGGCTCCAACTCCAGGTCAGGGTTGGAGTCAGAGCTGCAGCACCTGCCTGCCTCCCCTAGCACCTTGTACTCAGATCCAAGATGAGGAACTTTATTCCACCCCTCCCCCCCAGTTAAATGGGGAAGAAAACCTAGTCTTGGATTCAAGTAAATAGGGTATATGAACTATCTATATCAGGTGTGCTCTAGATTTTGTTCCTGCAGGCTAGATGAGGCCTAGCACCACCACCCCCATGTGCCAAGCTCAGGCCCTGGTGCCTTATGCCATCTTTGCCTAGCTGGGATCAGGCTCTGGGGCCCCACCAGGCTGGGATCGGATCCCAGGGCATTGCACTGCCTCTGGCCAGCTCCAGCATGCCAAGATTGCATTTACGAGCCCCGCACTGTCCCTGTTTAGCTGGGACTAGTCCCAGCACTACCCCTGGTCAGTGCCTGCACCCCAGGATTATGCTCCGTACCTCGTGTAGCCCCTGCCCAGGCCATGCATGCCAAGATCAGGCCCTGCACCATTGTGCCTGATCTAGTGCAAAAGCCATGGCCCACAGGGCTCCCATGGATCCGTAGGGAGCTCCATGAGCTGAATGACACAGTGCTGGGGGCCACATTTGGCCCTTGGGCTGGGGGTTAAGCACCTCTGATCTATATCATATAATGCACAGTATGGTAAGGGTAATGAGTATCTTTTGTATTACCTTGCCATAATTTTACATTTTGTAATGGTGTTTTTTTTTGCTTGTGTGTGTGATATAGATTGATTGATCAATCGATAGATATAATCACACAAGCAAACTATTTAAATATATATACATTATTTTTATTTTTTTGCATTTGATCCAGCAATGTTTGCCTTCATAGTCCAAAACCTTAGAGGCTCACAAACAGAGAAAATTATATTCGTATTCCTAAACAAAGCAAGTAGAGTCTGTGATAACAAATACAGCTGTTTGTTTTGTATTAATAAGTAATCTGAATTTAGGAATTGATCCAAACCTAACTTTAGCTTTTCAGTGACTTTGTTACACTTTGGGTCAGGTTGTAATAGGAGAGACCATATCTCTGTAGAATCAGAACTTTGATTTGAACTTTTATCCTGAATTTTAGGTATTTTTACTTGGTTCACTTTTTTTTAGCTTTCCGGTTCTGGTTCAAATAAGGAAGTGCAAACTCTGTGTACCGCTATCCTGACATTCATAAATGTTCTTTTGGCATGGTAACAAAAATCTAATTAGCCTCTAAAGGACAAATTGTCTTTAGGGATTAAATCAATCTAAAGTACTATTAATAATAAAAGTCAAGTTGAAAACTACCTTGTAGAATTTTGCAAAATAAGCCAGCCTGTACAGACCTATATTTCTACTTTCATAGATCTCCACAAAACAACGTGTAGTAGTGTAGTATTTATTCAGGAGCACAGTAAAATAATTCTAGTAAACTTTGGGGTAGTATGCGCAGTAATTACCTTAAATGCATTTTTTTGTTTTATATAACATAAAAATTTAGAGATATTTGTGTCCGTTCATATAACAAAGTAGTATTTTGCCTATTTCTCTCTATTGCTTGCTTACTTCCTGTGTCCTGTCGTAGGTGTGTGTCAGCTTGTGAATAAGATGGAAGAAAACTCAGGTAAAATCAAGGCTTTCAATAGAAATGACGAACAGTTTTTGGAAGCTTTTGTCATCTTTTGTGGTTTGGGGATCCAGAATACCCAAATGTATGAAGTTGTGGAGAGAGCCATGGCCAAGCAGATGGTGACATTAGAGGTGAGCCCAAAATCTAGGCAGCCCTTATTTGGCTTCATACATAGTATAACTATATGAACAGAATTTGGCCCAGTGTTTTATACAGGGGTGGTACTGATTTGCTTCTTGTCTGCATTTGCCTGCATAGTATTTTATTTGTTGTTGTATTTTAACTGCACTCCTGGGGTTTAGTGGTGGACATGAACACAGCATTCCCTAAACATTAGGCTGCCCATTGGGTACAGTGATCAGCATAGCTGGTTTGTCCTATTGCGTAGAAGGAGGAAATGGTTTGGAGGATTAGGGGCTTCCTCTTCTTGTCTGAGGTTTTCTGTGATGATTTTGGCTCAATCTGTTAGACAAACCAGCATGGAGAGTAACAGCAGCATTACTGTAGGCTTTCTGCAACTTCCTCTACCTACATCAAACCATATCAGGCATGAACGTCATCTGGTCATAGCCTTTGAATTGGTTACTGTTAACTGTAATGACCAGGGTATTAAAAGGAGGTTCTAGCCTAAGATGCTAAACTGCTTGGAAGATAACTGTAAGCCAGAAAGTTAAATGTGGTAGACTTTGGATCTGCTAATATTCAATGTGTAATAGTATCTTTGCAAAATTTGTAAAATGTGGAATATGTAGCCTCAAAAGGAAACATGATGGCTCTCTTGTTAACTTGGATCTAAGAATTCTAAATTGTGCAGATAAGAACAGTGCCGTCAAAGCAATGGCAGAGATCTTTAAAAGTAAGGTCTGACCACTTACTTACATCATAAATTAGTACTCAACTGTTTTATTATCTACAAATAAAATTTCTTTAGAGATAGAGTTCACTATATGATGAAAACATTTTCTCATTAAAAGCTGAAAATGTTTTGTTGTGTGTATATATATATGTCCATATATGCAACAAATTACATACATCTCCAACCCTGTAACATTTTCCTCTTTTATTCTCTGAACTAAAAAAAAAAAGCACGAGTTTATTTTGTTAATTTAAAACAAAAATATTTTCTCTCAGACTGTTCTGCTAAGTTTTATCCAGGGCAGAATTTTCTTTTTTGTCTAAGTTACAAACTCCTGAAAGAAAGGTCTTATTATGACAGCAGTGTCAGGCCTGTAATTATAGCTGTTCCATGAGCTATGTGTCTGTGAGATCAGGACATGAAAATTTTCCACAGAGATAAAGAAAAGAAAAGAAAATCAGAACTCTTTGCCCAAAACTGTTTTAAGTTTTCTTCCTTGGTTGGCTATATCAAGCCTTCACGCATTGGGAGAATGGTAAATTACATATATCGGCCCTGATTCTTTGGTGCATTGTGAATGTGTATATGTCTGTGCCTGTGCAGAGCTCCATTAAAGTCAGTGGATCTTTGCAAAGGTACAAGTGTTTGTCCAAATATGATGTATAACAAAATTGGAACTGCAGTCTGAAATCTTTGTGTTTTAAAATAACCCCAATAATTTGGTTGCATGTTTTCATTTGTACTCAAGGCTCTTTCTTTCCTTCTTCTGTAGGTCCTCTCATATCATGCTTCAGCTGCTGAAGAAGAAACAAGGGAGCTGCAGGTAACAGCGGTAATTGAATTTTTTTACTATTATTTATAAAATATTCTGTTAATGTAACGATGACTGACAGTCCTTTATGAGGATATGACTGATAAACATGCCAGGCATGTTAAAAAAAATGCCTTAGTTGCTTGGAGGAGTCTTAGTTACTATGAAAGCAGGGTTGTTGCTGCATTGGTACATCATGGAACAGCAGGAAAATGCCATTGTGAGTCATGAGCAATGTAGTCTTGCTAGAAAGCTTGGACCATAGGGAGAATAGAAGCATGACAGACTTTGAACAGAGGTTCTCAGTTTAGGCAGACATGATGATTAACATCAGACTAACCCACACAGCGTTCTTGTAACTCGAAATAAAAAATTGGGAATGTTGAGAACTCTTCCTTCCATGAAAAGTCTCATTGTTTTGACTCTTTGTACAAATTGGGATGAAAATAAATTGAAGCATCAGGATTTCCATAACAGAAATACCATTCTTCAGTCATGGTACTACAGATACCGTTTCTACTGAAATCCCTGCCTTTGTTCATTGTGTGATTTCCCCCCCCCCCCCCCCCCTGTTGTTTTTTACCCCCCCCCCCCATTTGTTTGTTTTAAGTTGAAACCACTTTACTGATGAATGAGTATTTGTGTGATACTTTGATTAACATACTCTTCCCCAAGAGAAATTATCCTGTGGCTTCAGGCTTGGGTCCAGCCATTTTTTCATTCTTTTTTTCCCTCTTGCACTTCTGTTGCTACTGCCCACTGTTTGTCATGTGTTTTTATTTTGTGGGGTTTTTTGTTTGTTTGTTTTCTTGGAGAACTCAATCACCACATTCTCCATTATCAAATTGAACCCCATGATACTCCCATCATTAGATATACTTTTTGGACCTTGGCCTGTTGTGCATGGTATTTCAGCAGTGCGTGTAAAGTGCTTTGAGAATGTCTGATATAAAAATGCTATGGAAGTGCAGTATTTTGTTACTGTGATAGCAGATATTTCATACTTTGGCATGCCTTTTGACTTCATGGAACATTTTAATGTTAAGGGATTCTGTTGCCTCTAGAGCTCCCATGTTCAATTTGCTGCTCAGTTAATTTTGTGTGTGCTTTCTATTTTGCTCCCATCTTTGCAAGTGCCTTGGTTAATGTTTAGTTTACCACTCAATACCTAGCTCCCACGCAGCTCAAATTTTTGTTTGGGTTCATTTCCTGCTAGCTCCCTTCTCTGAGTTCCAGGATAAATTGGAGGTTGATACTGGAAATTACAGTCAAAAGATTGTAAAAACTAAATTTAGAAAACCTTTACAGACTTATGTAATAAAACAATGTTACGACTAGATTTGGCCCCTGGATTTATAAAGATACCCCCTATTGACTTCATCAAGAATTTGTGTTTTGTATGTACATTGAGTTTGACATTTACATCACTATAGTCTCATACGTGTTATCCTAGAGAACACAAAATAGTAACAGATGAAGTGGCATATGCTAGCAGGCTGTTTAGCAGCAAGGCTGTCAGTGGCCAGTTCTCCCCCAGCCATCTGGTGACTGACCCCAAATTCAGACATCACTAATCCACTGTTCTCCCGACCTTGAGATTGGAAGGCCATGAAGAATGTCTAATGGTTATTCTGTCCCTCTTTCCGTCAACCCCTTTGTTAGAGTTTCTGCTTTTCAGAACAGATCTTTCTTTCTGCTCTGTTGTATCTTTCAACATTCTGAGTTTAAATACTTTTGGGAAAAAAATCACTACTTATGCTGTTTTTAACATCTTGAAAAGAACCCCAACCAAATCAGCAGACTTCTACTATCGATCATGACTGCATATTTATTATGTTATGTTGATTTGTGCTAAAAAGAAAGGTTTCTGCTGTCTATACCATATGCTGGTGCTTTCTGTATGTTAAAAATATAATCTAGCCATTACAAACAAAAATTAATACAGCAGCCTCCCCAGAGCCACAAATGAAAAATATGAGACACTGCAATCATATGCCCCAGCCCACAGAGCTTTCACCTTCTTTCAAAAGCCTGGAGAAAAAGATGCGATTTACAGCATACTCTGGAAATCAGCAGAAATGAAGGGTGAGGGTTGACTCCAATGTACAAAGCCTTTGTAAACCAAGTTGGGGGTAGGTAGGAAATGAGCCTCTTTGCTACTGACGCCAACTATGTCAGCCTCATACAGAGAAAGAAATGGTCTCTCTCTTCTAAGCTGATTGGAAATACCTTAAGGCTCTTTAGATTGAAATGTGCATCAGTCCAAAAGGGAAGAAATTGTGAACATATTTTGGAAATGTATCCTTCAGAAGATGAAGGCAATGATGATCACAATAACTAGATCTACAATCAAACTAAATTGTCTCAGTCTTCTGCCCAGACATATACTGGGCAAATAAGCTGTCCTAGTCATTACACGATTGTCTGACAGCATCTGTAGCGTCTAATAATGCCCCAGATCATTAACTTATAAAACAAATGGTGTGTTCGCAAAGGCAAAGGGGCAGGTATGCTGCTTGTTATGCCTTCCAGTTGGTTCCCCTTCAACCAGCATCACTTCTATTTGAGCGAAATTGAGCTTCCTTCAGCTAATCATCATCCATGCCTAAAACCCTCCCAAGCACCTTTGCAAAGAGCAGGCTGTCACTCGGTATGCTGAAAACTCAGCAGCCCAAGCTTCATCATTAATTCTTCCTATTAACTCATCTATACATTGAACAAGAAGGGGCACAAGAGAGACCTCTGTGAAATACCTCATAAGACATTCCTTGGCACTGAAGATTTCCTTGAAAATAACTGCGGGACCTTTCAGGAAAGAGTCACCCATTAAAGGGGGACTCTTATCAGTAAGTACTCTTTAATGTTTGCACGTAAATAATATTGTGATTAGCATAACAAAGGCAGCTGAGAGATCAATGTGGACACCTGGTATTTGTCTGTCACTTATTTCATCTGCCCAAACAAACAAGTTTCCGTGCTCTGCATGTAAACAGGGCAGTGATCAAGTTCAGGAGATCTGGAAGTCCTAGGAGCTCAGACTTGCCTGCCCGCGACTTTTCCGCAGAATCTTAAACAAAAATGACAGGAATAGATATTGGTCAGCCACTGCCAGGTTGACAGTATAGCAAATCAGGTGTGTGGCTGGAGGTGTGGGGAGGTGAACTGAATGACACCCACACAACAGCTTCCTTAAGGGAAACCGGTAGCCTCTTCCCTCAGGAGAGGAAGCATTGCAGCCTTGACAGTAACCAGTCATGATAGATGCTGTTATTCCTCACTGGTTTTCAGCAGTAAGGAAAGACAGGTCAAAAGTGCAAGTTGTGGTACACAATGGTTCCAACAACTCCAGTTTTCAGTAGCATCACTTGGACTAAATTTGGCCTCAGAAATCTGCTTGTTAGAGGTAAGATTCTCTAAATGTCAGAAATCTCTTCTTGAAAACAAATTCTTCCCTTTCCCCCAGAGATGATCCCTTTTAGTTCTGTTGCCATTTTCTATTTCTTCCACAACAATAAAAGTCCAAATAAAAAGATGCAGGAGTTCATTCTTGGATACATTTGTGCCAGTAGTATTTCATAGCAGATTTGTTAATAGAGCCTTAGCATATATTCATGCATGTGTCTGACATTGAATATTCATGTTTATTATCTTTGATTGAACCACTCCACTGCTTATAGGCTGGCCAGTAAGATAATGTATTGGAAATATAAACTTCTGCAATATGTCTAACCTGACAACTAGAACAGTCACTAAGTGGAGGTTTTAATGTAAAACAATTACAGATGGTTATTCAGAAATTAAATCTGGTCTTGCAGTCCATTATCTGATGTATGAATTTAAGTTTTTTTTCCCTAAAATTAGGATGAATACCAATCTTACTGTTTAAAACTCTGTAGCCAGCATCTACCATTTCTATTGTACTTGGACACATTTTTGTTTGTTTATTTACATTTTTAACAGCAGAATGAAGCACTAGGAAATGTTAGAAAACTTTCCTGCTATCATATCTATCATATTTTTGGAAGCCATCTGGTGTTTCTGTACATTCATGGACTTAGCAGCTGCCTAGGAAAAATCAGGGTCAAACAACTCTCAAGATGAAATAGTACATTTTTGTTTGGCTGGTAATCTCTATACCTAGTTTTAACTTAAATGTTGGGTATCTGTTACTAAAACTTGTATTTTTTTTTTGTTAGGAATGTGTATTTCAGTCTATCGGTTAAAATTACTTTTCTGTTTTTAATTTTAATCTGTTTAAGGTACTGATTCAGAAAACCATGGCATTAATGACTGCATTTGTAGTGTTTTGCTTAAACACAAGCTGAAAAGTTAATCATGTGCTTAGGTATTGTCCTGAAGGTTTCTTTCTGAACTCAGGCATATGCTGTCACTGCCAGATATGCTTTTTGGTAGCCATTTTCATAGACTAACAAGTCTTTTGTGGTGGAATCCCTGATCAAGCTTCCAGGCCCTACTGCAATACTTAAATAAACAAATATAGTAAGCATTACTCGTATAGTAAGCTTGTTACAGTGCAGTTATGCTGAGAAGGGGCATTAATAGTAGGTAGTCTTCTATGGCAAGCTATTTTATCATTTTCCCATGGTACAAAAAAATAAAGCATTGTGAAATGGAAGAAATGGTCAGCTGGGAAGCCAGTGCTGGTTTTAAAAGATATAGTGGTGTTCTAGACTAGGAATCAAGAGTAAAATGATAACAAGCGTCATAGCTTTCATGAAATAGAAAAGGGGAGAATAGTCTCTGGTGTCTCTGGGAACTGAAATTCAGGTCTGTAAGGTGTGTATAGCTGGAAGATTGGGGTTTCTGTCTCAGTTTGAATGAAATGTACTCTTTTTCTATGTAGGCAGCAAAACCAGGAGAAGCAAAAAAGATAAATTATAGAAGAGGTCAGGATATGAGCATGAGAAAATGTTCTCTTGAGCTCCCACTGTGCGCATCTACCCTTTTACCTCATGGAAGATCTGGTTACGAAAGTCTAGTGTTTACTTCACTTTATATAG